CATTTGAGAACCAAGTGCGAATGTCTAAGTAAGGCGATTGGGCATTAGCATCATATTATCTCATGATCCACCTCGGGTTTAAGGAAAGCGTTTCTCACTTTGAAATGATCTTTCGTCGGTAACGTCGTATACAAGAAGTATACCCATAGCTCCTCTGTAGTATGCGGTAGTGATAGTTCTAAATCGCTCTTGCCCAGCTGTGTCCCATATCTGGAGCTTTACGCGTTTACCGTCCAACTCGATGGTACGTATCTTGAAGTCGATTCCGATGGTAGTAATGAACGACGGAGTGAACGAGTCTTCACTGAATCGCAATAGACAGCATGACTTTCCGACCCCAGAGTCACCAATCAGCAGTAACTTGATCTACAGAGACCGATATTTAGCTTATTGATTTCTTGGGGCATTAATTAATACTCACCAGGAAGTCGTAGTTCCTTGTACCAGCCATCTTGTTGTTGCAGGCTCGAGGTATACAGAGAACGAGGGATGAAAGCCGTGATAGTGAGTTTATGTTCTGCGTTGTGCTAATCCCTACTCGATATTCGTCTTAGTTGGGTTTGACGTTATTCTCCCCTCTCCTCTGTTGGTCTTGCGTGCCCCCTCTCTTTTCTCCTATCCCTTCCGATTCCGCTTATGGTTTCTCGACAAGTTTGTGTTTGGCTGGAAACAAAATTTCACTTCACTTGGTTTGTCTGCTTGTCTCCGTCAATAATACCGACTGTAAGAGAACTCAAGTCTTCGAATAGTGGCAGGTGCTGGATTCAGGATCTTCCACGGAACCAGGAGCCGGTCCGGAGAATGGGGTCAGGGGACGGGACGGGACAAGACAGGTGTTGTATCGGAGACCTTTTGTTGAAGTAAGAATCGGCGACGTTGGACACGTTCAAATTCGGAAAGTTGCTGGGGAAATAATTTCATTCGATAGACAACAGTAGCACGACTTATCTTTGGGAACTGATTTCTTTCCAAGGTTTATCAGGAAGCTGGCAGCAGTATATGCACGTACAGTGAGTACATGATCGGAGTAGTATCCCGGGCACTTGTGTAATCGCCTAGTATCGTCCGGTCTACCCAAGCGCACCCCACAGATGAAAGTATTTAACTATCAGCTTTTATACCACTTTAAGACAGCTACTGTTCATTTGTGGCTCCAGTCAGATGTTCCAAACACGACAGATAAAAACAATAATAAAATCAAAAGTATTACTTGAAGATATAGCATCAATACCCCGTAGCCTTGATCATATCCTTGGGTATTGAAATGGTCACTAACATCGAACACGTCATTTCACCCTGTTTACACTAGGATTGTCCGAGATATACCAAGGCGTAGAAATGAGCTCCCTTGTACATAAGCTTGGTGTAGATTGGACCACCACAATATCTATCATTGTTCGACAATACGTCTACGACAGAATGTAAGAGATAATACAGTAATACTTGTCGAGAATATTGTCAGCCGCCAAAGTCAAAAGGCATGAAATATATTTTCCACCAAAAGAGTGAGCATAACGGATTGCATCAAATCCATTTTGAGTAGACCCAACCCATTCGTTCAACAACCTTGAGTTGCCGGTCAATCGTATCCCGCTCGACTAATTCATTGATGTCTTCCTGGAATGAACGGAGATCCGCGCCTTTCAGTATGATCCGCGCCTTTGAGAGTAGGACTTCGGCGTTGCATATGAGGAGACCATAGTCTCTAAATGCCAGCGCATTGCCAGGAGTGGAGGCAGATGATGTTAAAGTCCGATGTACAATCCTACAGCGATATATTAGGCCTAAATCGAATTGTTCTTTGGGACTAGGCCAGAACTTACCGGAGAGCATGTCTCAGTTCGTCCTGCTGCTTACCCATTCGGAAGCCCCTTCGACTGCCCAGCAAGCCGTAAAGCCAACGAAGAGTCGCAAATGACACCATTAAGCCTGGGGTTAGTCCAATAAACCTATAGAAAGTCAATGGCTACTCTGGTATTCTTGGCCGGAAGTCGTACCCAAAAACCAGCTCTTGGCTTTTCAACAGAGCGTCAATTCCCCCTATCGCAATTTCAACATCTACTTTTGTTTTCTGTATCTGTATTAGAAGTGCTCGCACCAAATCACCCTTGATGGTCCCGACAAAAGGACTACGTAGGTCATTTTCATATGCTTTCAGCACTGGTGTCAAGTCACCTTCCCGGACTTTAGCAGCAATGACATGGGTATCAAAAGCATCATAGTCATTCTTGTTCGGTTCACAACGATCAAGAACGAAGTCCACAACCATTCTTTCCAAACTCGCTCGATCGGCTTCCAAGCTGTTTCTACTCATCAATGCAATTTCACTCTTTTCATCATGTCTTATAGTGCCGATAAGCCTGCGAAGTGGGTCTACAACCCAGTTATTCCAAAACTCGATAGTGGTTGAACCGAAGTTGGCAACCCATTCCAAGAGCTCATGGCGCCTATTCCGTAACAGCTCCAGTGATGTACTTGTCGATAATAGTGCAAGGGTCAAAGGTAGCCAAAAACGTACTAGGTAATGAGGGCGTCCAGAGTTGTTGATTGTGGTGGCTGAAGCTTTGGCATAGGCCGGTAGAAGCTGTTCAAGTATATAGCCCAATTGGTTCATGACAAATCTCGGACCCTCAGATGATAGATCACTGCAGTAATGCATGCGCATCGACGTGACTTCTTGATTGATCGCCATGTTTATGTGCTCTTCATGATTCCACGGGACACTTCCCTTTTCAGCATCTTCGAGAAGCAATTTCATCAAGGCCACACTCTCAAGGACGTTGATCTGCCAGCTCTCAGTGAACATACCATGGCTATTGTCACCTGTAGAATTGTCGCCTGTAAAATTGTCGCCAACTGCGCATGAGAAACTGTTTCTTATGAGGATCCCTATGCTACAAGCATTCATATCTTTCAATGAACTCAATGTCTTCTGCTTCTGCCGTACATCTGACTTCGCTGTTGAGAGTGGTGATAACATCCTTCCCCGCCAAAAATGCAAATTTTGGGGAAGGACACACTGACGAACAGATTCGTAAAATTGCATCCAGCTGGGTTGACCGGACGTCCGGGAATTGTTCATGGAGTTAGCATGGTGCCAGACTTTTCGGGATCTGTTCCAAAGCACTACTGGCGAGGTTTGGAGCATGTAGAGCCCAAGTGACCAGGGGGACTCCAAAACACTATCCCAATAGAGCATCTCGTCATTGAGGGAGAGTACATCATCTGATAGCGTATTCAGTATAACTCCGAGAGTCTGGACTGCAGCCTTAGCAGCTACGAGCCAAGAAGTGTCTACGACGTGTGCCATGAAAACATTCACGTCTGGCAGCGTGGGATCAGCATTGAGCACATCATCGGGGTATTCGGCAATTATTTTCAAAAGCCTTTCCGTCTGCAGTAACGGTTGAGACTTGGATGTCACGGAAAGTGAGTCCATGAGCTTCTCCAGTTTCGCGACATTCTCAATGGGGTATTTTGCTTGGCTTGCGTGTTTGTAGATGTCTAGCGATTTCGGATAGGTATTATCGCTTATTTGCCGCCACAGTTTATCAAAATGTGCATCCAGACCGTATGCCCTACGGTGACAGTGTCAATACTCCCCTCATGCTGACAATACAACTGAGTAACTTACTTATTTATCGCATACATTGCGAATGGTGAAGCAAACGGCAGAGTAGGGCGAACAATGAAAAATAAGTGGAATAACCAGAAGAAATACTGATCAAGAAGTTCGGGTTTAAGAATAATGGCGTCATGCGCACCAAGCAAATCATGCAAACACCAAGCCCACTTTCACCCTTTGCATCATGTACTCTCTTCTCTCTTCAGACCAGATGATATAATCAAATGTATCAGTTGGTGTATTATGGCAGGGTAACACGGTGTTCTGAGCATTACCTAAATTGCTACTACATCTATCGTAAGTCGATTGAACTCACAGTGAGTCAAGCTTGAGGTAGGAGATAAATAAGTCCAATCAAGAAAAAAACATCCATCTGCGGAGGGCTGAATATATTGGGAAATCTATATAAAAGTACAATGAACACCGGACACGGCAGTGACTATAATACAAGTAATAACTTATTTGTGTGATATGGAAGCTGTGCTAAGCACGCCCTTCGCTTTTGTAGTCCTCGGGCCACTGGTTATGGCTTAGTAATCTGGCCCCTGGCCCCCTGTCTGAAATCTCCCGAACCAGTTGCCTCCATTCAGAAGGGCAGGTGTATGTACGTGTTAATATAGTGCGCGGAGAGTATGTCTCATTAACCTACCCGGGTGCTGCCTAGATCTAATCCAGTCCACCAATATATACAAAGCAAATTCTCTATACAGTGCAGTGAGGAGGTCGCTTTGATTAGCTGCTAGGGGTAGGAATAATAATATAATTAGATAATAATAAGTAGCGAACATACTAACTAGCGTATCTACCAAGGAATACAGACTAGTTTCCAAGCAAGTGGAGCTAACTAATATCGGTCCCAGTCGGCTAGCCAGTGGTGCCAGAAAGGTCCAAGGCCAGGGGGAAAAGGTCTCGCCACCTCGGGAGCGGCTGTCCTGGTCGCGCGCTTCTTCCACAAGTGTTCCTGAAATACCAGCCAACCTCTCACAGGCAACATTCCTTTAACAACTACTTAATTGTTGCTACAACGCTTTTATCCTCGTTCATAACATTGGTCATATGCCAATCGCATAAACACGACTCTCTAACCTCACATACCTCTGTCGTCTACGTATTCTCGCTCTGATAGCGAGGGTTTATTGAAGGAGAGGTGAGAAGAAAAGTGCCAAGGGCAAAAGCCGGCCTGCGTCCCTGTACAATGTGAGCAGCTTTTGATGTACCACCCGTTCTATATATGAGTTCTTACAGGACATAGGAATTCCACCTTGCTGTCTACGCCAGAATCATACTGGGGCCAGTTTGAAGAAATCTCCAAATACAATACTCATCTGAACGTGGTCGAAAGACTATGGACAGCATGGTATGCCTGGATGCAAAATGACGTTCTTGCAACTGGAATCATGTCTTTTGTAATGCACGAAATTGTATATTTCGGGCGTTCCCTCCCTTGGATCTTTATAGACACTCTCGGTTTGTTCAAGAACTACAAGATACAAAGCGTGAGGCTCAGGATCACCGAAGCTTACTTGCCATGGTTCTAATTGGGTTACAGAGCAAGATACCATCCTTACGAGAGCAATGGGATTGTGCTAGATTTGTGCTACTCAGCCATTTTACCGTGGAGCTGCCACAAATATGGTGAGAAATACTTGATCTTCCTATGGGCCATTTGTGATGGCGTTACTAACAGCTCTAGGCTTTTCCACCCGATGGCCCAGTTTTTCGGCCTCTCCACCTCTGTACCTTTTCCCTCTTTGTGGACCATGGCTTATCAAATAGCGATATTCTTTGTCCTGGAAGACACGTGGCATTACTTTTCCCACCGTGCTCTCCATTGGGGTCCACTGTATAAAGCCATCCACAAGATTCACCATCAATATTCCGCACCTTTCGGTATGGCAGCTGAATATGCTTCTCCAATTGAAGTCATGATTCTTGGATTTGGTACTGTTGGTTGTCCAATTCTATGGTGTGCAGTAACCGGCGATCTGCATATTTTTACGATGTACATCTGGATCGTCTTGCGGCTTTTCCAGGCCATTGATGCGCACAGTGGCTATGAGTTTCCATGGAGTCTTCATCACTTCCTCCCTTTCTGGGCTGGCGCAGACCACCATGATCTCCACCACGAGAAGTTTGTAGGAAATTATTCCAGCAGCTTCAGGTGGTGGGATTATCTTCTGGACACCGAATACTCCCCGGAGGCTATCAAGAGGAGAAGGGAAAACAAGTCTGTGAAGGATACCAAGAAGGCTCAGTGATATTCCAGTCTTTGCAATGCCTGAAATAAATGTGACCTGTATGGGCCATGTCTCAGGGCCATATGGGCTCTCTGGCGACACGGCCATTCGGCGGGACTTGACCATGGTTATCGACGACGTGATACATCATTTTATGACTTACACTTGCTAATATAGAGATATGGATTTTAATTCAAGTTTTATTCTTTTGGGTCGATTGACTAGCTGAGGGGTGTCATGGCTAGAATTGAACTATATCCCTTGCCTTGAGCAGACATGTAATTTACTTTTTGAAAATAGTTTTATCTCCTTGTCATATATGTTCTTTAAATTCTAGTTTTGATCCTTATGATAGGAAAGAGGAGCAAGGCTGTTTAAGGGGCGTTGTTGGAGATGTGTTAATGTTGGGCTTACATCATAATAGCAACTAATATTTAGTTACCCTAGACTGATCACTTATCCCCGGAAACACCTAGTGACCTAACGTAATGTCCGAATACGTTCTTAGTGCGCCTTAAGGAGTGATGTTATAAGTGGAACATTCAGCAAGCACCAGCAGATAGCTTATTGGTGCCGGCACCAACACTGTTGTCACTCTAACCCTATGGTCAGATTCCACATTGTATTATGCCTACTGTGGGAGCCAATCAAACGTATCTCATTCGGTGCATGTAAACTAAAATATTAAATAAAATAAATAAAATAAATAAAATAAATAAAATAAATAAAATAAATAAAATAAATAAAATAAATAAAATAAATAAAATAAATAAAATAAAT